TATGGATTTTTGACCGGTAATGAGGTGAGATATGCCGTGAAGGTGTCCACGCCGCATTCGGCCAAACTGGGTCAGGTATTCACACCTCTTGGTGACCGGGCTAGTCAGAGACGTTCATACACTCCTAAGGTAACAATCCGTTGATCCAAAAGCCCTATATTCAATCATCGTTGAGAGGAGACCGTTGCCTCAGCTAAAAGAATGTCCTCGGACCAACAGGTGACGAGTCACGAGTAACAGCGTGATGCAGCAGTTTCAGTAAATTTTTTTTCTGGTTGTTTATGCTTTTATGCACAGTCTTCTTCTAGGCAAAGGAGACGCTGAAGGCGGTAGAGCAGTCACGGTACTTGAGAATCAAAAACCGTCGTTGGCTTCCATTGAGGAGAGCGCATTTGCCGACCGGCTGAACAGTGCTAGTTGCTTTTTGACCACTGCTTGGGTATGACCATCAGTCAGGATTTGATAGTAATCCACCGGAGCTTCGTTGGCCAATAATTTCAGGGGGAGGGGGGGGTACACGACAGCCTTCAGGGCTACCGCGGCAGTTAAAGTACAACAAATTTCGCCGTACTTCACTATGCCGAGCAATCCCTTGCGTTGATATTTGTCCGCTCGCTACGACAGGGCTGAGAGGATGGTTTACAGAAAGCTGATATCTTATCATTGTCATATAATTCAATTCTTTTCTGTTTAATATATTTAATGATTAACGCAGCACACAAATTTCTTTCGGTACAAGCAGCTACAAAAGTAAAGAAAGACCATCGATTTATCATGTCATTCACAGTCTGTTCCACAAGTCTTGTTCTTTCCCACGAGCAATAACGCACCTCACCGTAAAGCTATCATGTGCACATAGTTGATGGCGGAACTGGGGGGTCAACCGGAAATGCGACATCAAACGCATTGCCTTTTTTTGCATCCTGTCGCCTTCTCTTCTCCTTCATCTGCTGAGAAGCATCTAAACATTTTCTGCTCCAGTAGTCCGGTCATGTCCAAGACACTCGCATGTTTACGGTAGAAACCGTCGTCGCAAAACTGAATCCTGTTTACTGTTTATGCAACCCTGTAAAATTTGCAACAGCTGGGAAGATTTTGTATCTGTGCTGATTATCACTGCACTGGAGTGTTATTCGTATAGTGGATTAAGGGCTCTCGCATCAGACAACATGACAGTATCCCTTATCCCTTTCTGGATAAGGCCATATCGGAACACCGTACTATTCCTGTTGTTCGCATGCTAACGTCTGGTTATCCGTTTCTCGTCTGGTTGTACCGAAGCAAAGTGGGGTGAATTTGCTGTTCAAGGGAATTAGCGTTTAAAAGAAATTTTGCTAGAGATTCGAGCCCAGTACTTTCGGAGTTCGTAGACATTCTTATCACCATGTTACCGTTCCTCCTCGTACCTCCAAAGGATGAAAGAAGAAATATGACACGCACTTGATGACCTTGTAGCGGTTTCTCTTGAATTTAGATGCAACCCTTATTTGTGTAATTATTGCCCATTGTCGTTTGTTACAACAGTTATGCATCTTCTGATGACGCTGATCCACGTTGATCTGTTGATCAATGGTCCATTATTTTGCAGCACATTATTTGACCACCGGACAGGGCATCGTGCTGGATATTTTTAGAAAGCGTCAGGCTGCAGAGTTCGACACTTCTACTGGAGTTGCTCTATTCTATTCTTTGTGGCATGACAGCTACTGGACAAGAAAGCCGTTTCTAAACAACTTTCGATGCCTATGATAGAGAACGTAATTTTAAAATTTCCAGTGTCTAGACTATAGCTCTTAGCCATTTCTTGTTAGTGACTACGAAGCGTCATTTCAAAAGTGTCTTAGTCCCTAGATCTTCCTTGCAGTTACATGCCTCGAATCTTCATTAGTCTTTTCGATTCACTGTGGGATGAATGCCTCTCCAACTTTTTGCCAGAAACTTCTATTTTCTGTGGTTCTTATCCATCTTGACACAAACACATTGTTCATACATCCTGCCATAGAACAGGGACTCTTTTGGCGGCCCATTAACCATCCCCTCAAACTCATTTTAATGTCTCGGTGATTCAACGATGGTCGGTCCTTCTTGCAATATGTCCTACTCGATGCCATTTGAACTTCTTCAATGACATCGCTGACACTTGCTTGTATCCTTCTCCATTCATTCGTCTTCCTATTTGTTCTTGCTCTGCTCGAAATATATCTTTCCGTCTTGCGTTGCGAGGTCTGCCGTCGAATCTTAATATGAATCTTTTATTCCTCCAGTTTTACTCCACTTGCTAATCCACTAGATATTCTTGACCACCAGCTATTTTGCAAGACGGTAAAGGTAAATTAAATTTACTCTGCAGGCTCATGATTATCATCATTTGTATAACAGTTCGTGCATTCATGGGTTATTAAATATTAGTCTGTCACTGAAAATTACATATCTTCATAATTACACATCACTGGAGAATTGTTCGTAGCTTCGGGCTTTAAAAATTACGGTGATTCATTTTTGGTCCCCATGGTACAGGATTTTTTCATTCTGTTTCTGTTATTTTTACGGCTGTGCTACTTGGCTACTGCTTTCTCCGTCGATCGATCACGCTCCACAGAGGACCTCGAAGTCAGATAACTCTGACAGTGTCGCACCTGGTCTTTAGTTGTTCGTCTCTTTTCCGGTGCCATCTATTGATCATCACTTTGAGAACAGAAGAGAATTAAACTTTGTTGAACAGACACGGATTTTGGCATTGGATATGTGGTCTAAAAGTGGTTATCGATCCGTTAAATTATTCTAATTTTTCAAGCTTTCGACCCATATGCCCAGCTCTGATCCATAAAGAAGGATAAAGCGGAAAGCCACCTGCAGAACTTGACACTTCATCCTTCGACGGACCTCTCGTCGTTTTCCCAGCGGTTTGCAGAGCTGCAGGAGAGTCCCATTAGTAGACTGTAATTATGAAGTGCAGTAGCCAAGGTGTTTGAATACGGTGACCTCTTCAGCGGAAGTGTCGAACTAGAGGATGGATTTTTTTCCGGGATCAATTCAGATAATATTTTAGTTTTTGCTGCGAAGATGCCCCACTTTTGCCCGCCACGTCTGGATTCACCTATTTTGGACATGCTTTGCAATTTGTGCTTTGCCATGTATGTTCTTCTATGTTCTTCCCTGGACTGAATAAGCTGCCTGAAAATCACTAATTGATTAGCGTGATTAAATGACAAATTAAATGTTCCCCGCAAACCTGAGTAGCCAACGTTTTATACCTGTAGCCTGTATTTGCTCGGATGTTCGATATCCCGTATATTTTCGCAGTTGGGAACCATTTGTGGTACGACGCATGTGTCCATCGGCAAACGATTGGATTCTTTTTTGCTTTTTCAAGTTCTTCAACCGTTACAGCGTCTCTTTTCCTATTTCCTTCCAAATAAACCATATTCATTTATCTGGTTCAGAAGGATGAAAGACAAATGGCCCAACCGAGACCCTAAGCCAGGGCTTCTCGCATTTCTGAGCCCGACACTCTACCGACTAAGCATTTCCGGTTCGGCGATTCATAGGCCAAGCGGTTCAGTGGTTGAAGTTTCATCTTTCAGCCGTTACTCCAAGTAAGTCAACGAACATAATCACGTAGCCTATTGGAAGTGCGGCAGTTGGCTACCCTATCTTTCTAGCTGCCATCATGGCAGAAAAACCACAGCTTT